CTTCTTAAAGTCTATTATAGAAGTATTCTATAAAGGCGTTATCTTCGAGATCGAGCTTTAAAGAGAGTCGTCTAAACTCTCGGTTATAATATATAGCCGATCTAGTCTATTAGAGATTCTTTAATTATCTTATAGTAGTTCTAGCTTCGTCTAGGTCTCTAAAAGCGGTTTTTAGGGCGTTCTTAAAATTATCGTAGCTCTAGAAGATAGTATTAATTCCTTCGTCTCTATTAGCCTCTCTTTTATAGTTAAGGTAGTCCCTAAGAGTAAGCTCTTACTATTCGAAAGCTTTTCTTATAAGGAGATTACTAATATAGAGGATCTATAGAATAAGTCCTTTAATAGAAGTATTAACGTAGAGGTAAGCCTTAGCTTAGGTTAAGAAGGAGCGAACGCTCCCTTTCTAACTATCGAAAGGTTCGGGCTTTAAGAACTTAAGCGTTTCTCTTACTATTATTAATTATTATATTTAAGCTATAAGTCGATTAATCTCGGCCCTTAAGTAAGTAACGGCTCGCTTTAAGTTAGAGGTTAATCCGCTTATAGTAAATATACTATTCGTTAGTTATTAAGGGTAACTTACCGAATAAGAGTAATTAAAATATAATAGAGCTTAAGTAAGGTCTTAAGGTTTATTATTACTTAAGAGGTAAGCTAGGTTTAATAAGTAGTAAACGATTTAATAAGAGTCTATTAAGAAGCTTTAAAGACTTCTTATTTAGGTAAATACTTAAATTAATTACTAAAGATCTAGCTATCTACTCTAGGTAGTAACTATAGTATATATATCTATCTAGCTCTTTATTGATCTTACCTTAAAGCGTTAGATTATAGGGAGTATATCGCTCTAGGTAATCTTACGCTCTTTAAATCATAGAGCGCTTAGATTACGGTACTCTTAATAATCTTACGCTCTCGATTATTATATATTTAATTACGTAATATTCTATTTCTAGGATAGTTAGTTAAGCGCTATCCCTTATAGCCTAGTCCTCTTATATTAAGTCTACCTTAGCCGGCCTAATAGCCGCTCGTTAGTCTATAATAGTATACTACTGCCCGATCTGCTAGGCTCTTAACTATATCGGGATGTTTCTCCTTAAGTACCTCGCGGTATAATGCGAGCGCCTATAGCGATATTTTGTCCGCCTTATAGTAATTGCCCTAGTAGTAGTAGGTCTTAGCTAGCTCCGCTATAGCCCGGATTATATCGGGATGCCTCTCGCCGTATACTTCTTGTCCTAGTATTAGCGTCTTTACTTATATTTCCACCGCCTCGCTATATTTCCCCTGTTTACGGTAGGTTATAGCGAGTGACAATCTGCTCGCGATAGTATTGGGGTGCTTCTCGCTGAGAACTTCTTTCCGATACTCGTAAGCGCCTTTATCTATAGGCTCTCTTTCTCTCTACCTCCTACGATTATATAAGTAACCGGAAAGTCGGGTTAAAAGGCCCGCTGCCTCTATCTCCCCTCTATACAACCCTGCCCATCCGGCGGCACGCTACGTATGCTCTAGATACTTATTATATTCCCCCTATACCTCTCGCCGACTATCCGGAAATAGGTCTATAACCGTTTAAAGAGCTATTCTCGAGAAGTATGATTAGTCCTGTCTCCGCCGCTATTAATATAAATTGTACTATATAGCCTCTTATATAAGCTTATATATCTTATACGCCCTTTATTATTCGTTAGATATACGTAAGTATAGAAATGAGAAGTTTTATAGAAGGACGATAATTGCTCGGGTATTTATATTACTCTCCTTATACTCGTTATACTTATTGGCTCTCGCGGCTTTATCGTCTCTAGCTAACCTAAGAATATCGGTAGCCTTTTCGATTAAGCTAAAGGGAATTTCTTAGTTATGCATAAACGCGAGCGAATGTAGTATATCGCATGCCGTTTCGTTCTCCTGCCGAATATGCTCAATCGAGATATCCTAGGTCTATAAAACGCTATTCGGCATATGCTATCTACGATGTCGGTTAAATTCTGTCTTGCTAAGCAGCTCCTACCGCTTTATGCGTCTATATAGCATCGAAAGATACTCGCCGATAGGAGTTTTAGTCGTTTATATATATGCCGCCGCTTACGAGATCGCGAGTAGTAGGTATTCTAGCTCCGAAAGCAGCGCCATAGCGTCTTCCGAACTCTCGTTAATCTCCTTGCCTATAACCGTCTCGAGGAGTATCCGCGCCTCTCTCTTCGTTATGCTACTAACGTAAACTGCTCGTCTAGCACTAACGAGGTTGCTACGAATCCGCTTATCGCGGCTAGTCTATAGTACGGTCCCTGCGGGACCCCGCGGCACGAAATCGTAGAGATTGTGCGTTTCGGCTATTAACTGCGTCCCGCCTACTCTAAATAACGCGAGGTCGTCCGTATTGTCTAGAATAAGCAGCTAGTACGGGTACGCCTTAATTCGTTCGCGCACGGCTGTTGGTAGCCTCGGCCCCTCTAGACTAGCTGCAAGGCCGAGCCTCGTCGCAATAGCCCTATAGTCCTACGTAAACGTCGTCTCGTTATCGGCATAGACCTAGAACACCGAGCAGGCCGGATCGCGGCTTCGGCGGTAGGCATAGTCGAGAGCGATTTGCGTTTTGCTATCATTATCAGCAAACATAGAATAACCAGGCACGACGGCCTTACCCAGAGCCACCGAGCCCCTAGAGTGCTGCGCTCCGATAGTCGGTCGAGGGAGGTAGAAGCCTGTCAAGCGAAGCGAAGACGTCGCGATTCACCAAGTCCTCGTTAGGCGGGAAAGGAATAATCCGGTGCGGAACACGCTCTTTAGTCTGCGTCTCATCTGCTTTTTATGTCAGGGCCTGCCTGTCGTCTTCCCCTTCCGGTACAATGGCTACTTGGACTCACGGTGAATGTGGAGAGCTCCGCTGACGTGGCCCTGAAACATGAAGCTGCCGTCGGACGCTTCAGCATTGCCGAAGTGCTGGTCGACACTTTGCCCCACTGGTGTCATTGCGGTGGCGGACAATACTCGTGGACGCAATATAGCCTCTTCTGTGACTGAGGCCCGCAACAACCAGCTGAACGTGGAGATGCCCTGCCGCGGCCCCGCGCGCATTACCGTCCAGATATATCACGTGGACAAGGGGGCTGAGTGCGGCTGAACAGCCTTCGCCCTCATTCCATGATAAATAGGCGACGGCGAGCCAACATCAATGGGCGGTCTGCAATATCAGCTATGGATCCTCTAAGCGTCACAGCCGGCGTGATAGCCGTGGCTACTGCGGCGTTGCAGAGCGCGAAGGCACTCTACGATGCCGTAGATGGGCTCAAGGATGCGCCACACTCTATTTCGCAGGCTAAAGGGCTTCTCTCCCAATCTCTGACGACGTTAGGCGCACTGACGAGAACACTCGAGGCGAACACCGAACCTGGTATGGTCGACTCTATCCTGAACGAGATATAGCTCGGCAAGGCACTAGAATCTATCACTGCCTTTTGCTAGGCGTTCACGGCTGCAATAGCAAGGTTGACCAATCATTCGACGGAGTCAGGTTTCAGCAAACGCGACAGATTCCTCGTATACTTCAACGAGGCACAGATAGAAAGACTAAACAGGGACTTATCCGGCTATCAAAGGACACTTACCATAGCTCTGTCGTCTATCACGCTGTAAGGACCCCTTAGTCTGCAAGGAGGAGGTTTGTTAACAGTGAACGAACAGGGTCATAACGAGCCACACCTCTGGAACTATCGATAAGCTTCGGGCTCAATTCGACGCCCAGGAGCAGGCTCTAGCCCACTTAAGCGTACAACTGTCCCGAACAGAAGCAGAATTACAAGTCGACGACTACAGTACAGTCCCTACCAGAGATTCAAGCGCGCAATTGACTGCCACCCTTCAAGAGGTCTGTCATAGGAGTCTGGCCGCAACACGCTCGCAGCGAAGTAAGCAGAAATTTAGCGATATGAAATCGGATAGCAATTCCATTGCTATGCAAGGAATAGCCGGCGTAGCACAACCAGGGCTGGATCAGTCATTCGGAAGCATGACGGCCACGACGAGAAGCCGCGCCTTCCAGGGCCAAATGGATGCAGGCGCTTTTAGCAAATTCTTTGGTGAATGATGGCTCTCTGGGCCAAGGTTGCTGCTGCCGAATTGCAGCTCACATTCAATCGTCATGTCATCTGCTGGCGGGCTTTGATCGTTGAACTGATAGGCGGCGGTAACACATGTTGCTGAGGATGGGCCATATTCGGGCTTTAGCTTTGATCGGGCTGGAACCCCGGTGATGACCGTGTTTGGGGTCGTGATGAAGGAAGGAAAAGGCACGAGGATCTATGAAGAAGCCGAAGAACAGAGCTGAATACAAGTCGCTGGATGATGCCTCGCCTCTGTTGAAGGAGGCTTGGAACATCTGCTGACCCAGACTGTATCAAGGAGCGGGGCTGTGGGTGGCGCAGAGGGAGGGGCGGCTAGCAGCCATGTTGGATGGCGCATTTCATTGGTCTTTGCATCACAGATAGTGTCGGGGCCACGTAGGTATGTAGGCGGACGAGGGGGTTCGGCGGGAGCGTCTCGGGGCCTGGCCTGCTCGGAGTGTTACACGGACCGCGAGGCACTGGTTGCTGGCCCGCCAGCGGGTAGTCCGTCGTCACCGGGCGCCTTCCATGACTTTGCTGCGAAGACGCTGGGCATCCCTTGAGGCATGCCGTTTCGCGGACGGGAAGTGTGGGTACCCTCGGCCTGAGCCGCTGCGCCACAGTCACGACACTGGTGCATGGACTCGCTTGTCCGCAGCCATTCAACTCTTGTATATGGCATCCGTTAAGCAAACCGATAGCGTGGCTTGGCTGAGGTTGGGCGGTTATAACACCGTAAAGTTCGATTCGGGAGATACGGACGGACGCCGGTTAGCTCCAGATAAAAGTGTGGCTATTAACTCACGGGCCGAGCCCGGGCTAGGCTGCCGCCCGAAATGCAATTGGCGTCTGATACTGTGGGGCTATGTGACCGAGCTGTGCGTGTAAATGAGTTGTCCTGGATGCCTCCTCGCCTCATCCCCTCGTCGATTTGCTTCTACCTTACGCATTAGCATAGCTACTAGGGCAGATATGTAAGTAGGGGTCCCGCGTCGTGACGTATCGGACTATAGCGCCTGGGACGGGGCATAGTGTGGTGGCTATGGCGGTAGTTATGCCATCCCTGCCCTATTAGCGCGGTATGATATTAGCGGGATAGTTAGTCGTAATTACTGCCCGCTTAAATTAAGTATAGTTAGCTCCGTCTAGCGGCAGGGTGCCTTTAACTATAGACGATATATACGTATCGCTATCGACGACGATCTTATAGCCCCTAAGGTAATCGCATTAAATTTATGCTTTTTATCGCCTATATTTATAATTATCTCGTTATAGGTCTACTAGCTTAACTCGCTATAAGGCGGCGCGTAAGTAGCGAGGGCAAGCGTTCTCTTAGTTAGATATATAAAATTAAGTAGCTATTTTAGTAAATAAGCCTAGCTATATTAATTAAAACTATAAGCGATCTTAAGATATAGTAGAAGCTAAAGAAGAGTATTTTAGGGAATACTAAAGGCTATAATATAACCTTATTAATATAGTCTCTTATATAATCTTTTAATATATCGCTATTAAGCCCTTAAGAGCTATACGTTAATTAAGGTTAACTATACTAAAGAATTTATATATAGCGGCGAATACTATAATATAGGTATATCTAGCTACTTAATAGAGCTTTATTACCTTATTAATTAATATCTCTTTAAAGATTAAGCGATATTACTAGACTAAGGCTTAAATATAGCTAACTTACTATCTATATCGTTATAAGCCCCTATCTCGCCTTTATTTATTAGCTCTTATATTAAGGTATTATCGTAGATAGAATTTAAAGAGTAATAAGCCTATATTATATATATATTATAAAGGGTTTAGAACTCTATATATAATAGCCTTAAAAACGATAGTAATATAGTAAAACTTATCGAGTTATATATATAGACTTTAAGTAAGGTTTTAAGAGCTAGAAATAGTATAAATAGTAGTATTATTATTAAATTAGATAATCTTAATATATAATAAGGCATTATAAAGAAGTTTATAGAGGTAAGATAGGTAAAGATCGCTATATTATTAAGGCTTATAAAAGGAGTAAGTAATATTATTAAGTTTATTTAAAGAATTAAATTAATTATCGATATTATTATTAGAAATATATTATAGGCTACTTTATTATAAGCTAGGGTTTATATTAAGCTATAAGTATTAAAATTACTTTCATTAATTAGCTTTAGTTAATATATTTCTATTTAGATCCTTTTAAACCTTATAAAGGCAATAAACTCTAACCTTATTAATATTATTTATATTATATTAAGGATAGAGTAATATTATACTTTAATTATATATCTCTTAAAAGATAATAACGTTAAGATCGGGGACGAGATATATATAGTAATCTTATAGTAGCTAGAAGAGAATATCTTAGCCCTCTATAAGGTACTTCTCTTATATTAAATAAAAAGCGTCTATTATTATTACCGATATTAAGGTTATATTTTCCTTCGAGCCCTTATAAATTTAGACGACTAAGATATTAACTTAAAGACTATTAATAATGCTAAAGAAATAGTTCGGGCTAATTAGTAATAATATAATAAGATCCGCGGGAAGAATACCTTAAGCTAGGTTTTAAATTATACTTAAGAGATATAAAGGCTCCTTAGTAATATATAATAGACCCTATAAGACTTTATCGTATAGTAAAAGGCTATTTATAGAGATAATATAGAAGTAGCTTACTAAAGAGATCTCTATATTATTAACCTATAATACGATATAGAGAGAATTTAAAATAATAAAGACGACCTCTTTAAGGATATATATAGATAGATCTTATAGACTAATAAGTATATAGCCTTTATAAACTAGTATATTAATAGATATAAGTACTTATAGTTTATTAAGAGAAGAAAAGCATTAAAATAGCGAAGTAAGATCTAATTATATAATGCGCTTTAATCTTAGCCTAGAAAATATAGCGCTATCTCTTAGAAATAAAAAGAAAGATAATAAGGGTAAAAAAGGGGTAACTTATAATACTTAATAAGATCTCTATAATTAAGGTACCTTTAATAGTCTAAAGTAGCTTATATAAGAGCTCTTATTATAATTAAATAAATAGAGTCTTTAAAACCCTTATATTTATATATATTATAAAACTATATAAGAGTTAAGTTTATAAAGTAAGGCTATTTATTATAGTATAAGGTATTATAATTAAGGTAACTTAAATAAGGTAAAAATAATATTTATTATTAGCTATAACTATAAAGGCATGCCTTTTTATCTCCTTTAAGAGTAAGAGATTGCCCTCTTTATATATACCCTATTTATCTAACTTATAATATCTTTACTTATAGCGTTTTTCCTTCTATAAGCCTATACTATTAAGGGCTATACTCTTTTCCTAATAAAATAGTATTAACTGCTATAAGTAAAGGGACTTATTAATATAGGGAAAACTATACTTATAATTAGTATTATTTACAAACTTTCTCGTTAATCCGCGGCCCTTATACTAGCGCTTTCTTTCTTCTTCTATTAAGGCATAAATATATCCTTAAATACCGCTATAGCTATCTTATAATCGTTAATTTAGCTTTTACTTATTTAGTAGCTAAAACTAATCTCTTATTTATTACTAAAGTATAAGTAATGAGGCGCTAAGTTCTTTATAGATTAAAACGCGTTTTTCGCTCTATTTAAAAGCCTTTTAAAATATACTATATAACCCTTATTTACTATTTATATACCTTATAGTAAACGCTTTAAATAAATATAAGGTAGATATACCTCGCTTAATCGAGCTTATCTTAATATCCTTAACTTTATTTAATAAAGCTAAATATATAGTCTCTAGCCGTCTAATAATTAAGCTTAAAACTTTAAATACTATAAGTTCCTTAATCGAGCTCGATACTTAAAGGCTTAAAGAACCGGTTAAGATTTATATTAACTATAAACTTATTAAGCTAAAGAATAAAAAAGGATATAGTAATACAATCTTAGCTTAAGTCTTAAATAAGCTTTATTATTAAGTAGAAAATACTTTTCTTTAAGTAGCTCTTATCTATAAAAAGCTCGAATTAAAGTATAAATAGAACGCTATTAAAATCATTAAATAAATACCTCTAAGTTTACTAAAACTCTATAAGTATATAATAGCTAAACTTAAGAGTATAATAGACTAAGAGTATTATATAAATATCCTAAAGGCTATTACTCTTACTTACCGCCTTTTATCCCTTCTTAAATTTTAAATTTTAGCTAGCTTAAATCTAGAGATTAACTTATAGATTATTATAGAGGAATATAATACCTTACTTATAGGGGAGCGCGGCCCTTATAGAATAGTATAGATTTAAGTAAAACTATAAGTAGGGCGCCTTTAGTACTTAAAGCGAGGCGTAATTATTATTATTTACGCTAGCTAAGCTATATATAGCTATTAGTAGCCGCTTAACTAAGAGCTAATTTATAAGTCGCTGCCTTTTATTAAATAAGAGAGCTATATAGTAATTATTTAATTAGTATATTTATAATCTATATAGTTAATAGCTAATTTAATATATTTATATAAAGGGGGCTTTCCCTTATATTAAGAAGAGGTCCCTTTCTTCCTTTAATATTATTACTTCTATATTACCGTTATTATTATTATAGCCTCGCTATTATAATAATAATACTAATAATAATAATAATAATAATAATAATAATAATAATAATAATAATAATAATAATAATAATAATAATAATAATAATAATAATAATAATAATAATANAATAATAATAATAATAATAATAATAATAATAATAATAATAATAATAATAATAATAATAATAATAATAATAATAATAATAATAATAATAATAATAAAGTATATCCCTTACTTTTACCCTATCCTATATTATAGGGCCGTAATAATAGCTATTAACTTAAGATATAAATACCTTTTATATTATTTATATTATTATCGCTATACCTTAATAGCTCCCTTACTCCCTTAAGCTCTTACTTACCTTTAGGCTCTCCTATACTTACTTACGCCTCTTTTAGCTCTCTTATACCCTTATATATACCTTTAGGCTCGCTTGCCTTTATTACCTCTCTTTCTCTTTTACTAAGCTTATACTTACTTACCTTTAAATCCCCCTCGCCTTTAATCGCTACCCTTTATTACCGCCGCCCCTTTCTCGCTATTACTCCTATTAATATAGCCCCTTAAGGTAAGCGTTATTCTTATTTATTATCGCTATTATCGACCTTATCTATAAGTCCCTTCCTTTAAGCTTATACCTCCTTTATATATATAGGCCTTTTTAATATAGTATATAAAAGTAGCTTAAGAAAGATAACTTTATAAAAGAGCTCCGCTCTTAGCTATATATATACTATATATATATAAGGCTTATTTATATAAGTTATATAAAGTAAGTAATTAATAATTATTATAGCTATTATATCGCTAACTATATATATTAAGCGATAGTTTAGGCTATAAGTATTATATAGTATACTTAAAAGGCTATTACTATTACTATTATTACTTTCTTTATTATTATTAACGAGAAAGAGGTCGCTATTATTAATAAAGTAAAGAAAAAGGCTAAAAAAGTATTAAATACTACTTATATAATAAAGTAATATCTCTTAACCTTAAAGAGAGTAAGCTTTATACTTAAATAAGTAACCTTAACCCTTTATATCGCTATATATATAAATATTAACCCTAAAATAAGAATATTAATATAATTACCTTTAATAATACCCCTCTTACCTCTTTTATTGCCTTTACCCCCTTTATTATAGCTATTAATATTATTACTAACCTTATCGTTAAGGTCTAAGACCTTATTGCCTACCTTATAATAATAAAGGAGGTTATCGCCTCCTATAAAGTAAAGGAAGAAAAAGAAGAAAAAGATAAAGATAAAGAGATAATAAAATAAGCGCTCTTTTAAGAATAGCCCCCCTTTATATTAAAAGGGGGGGCTAAAGGAATAAACGATTATATTTTTAGTAAAACCTCTATATATACTTATACTTTACTATAATTACTATAACCCCTATAGAGGTATATAGTTAGGCTATTTATTATTAAAAGAGCTTAAAGGCTATAATATATTATACCT